TTTATTAAAATAAAATTTATTGAACCCGTGATTGCCTCTTATACAGGGGCACAACATATTGTACTTTAAATACAACACAGTGCTCAGAGCAACGAGGAAAAGCTATATCAAGAAACAAAACAGCTTTTAAATGGATGCTTGGTACAAGCAACATATTCATCATGAGTAAATTGATACACAAAGATGCAATTTAGCTTCCGTGAGTTCGCTGTTCCTGGAATTCAGTATCAATTAGCTGGAATATAAACCGATAGAAAATTCCAAGAAATCTTCGCAATGATAGAACACGTTCATGACATACATTTATATTTTTGTTGATTATTTTTTTCTGGTGACCGTTGTTGTCAGGCACTTTGTGAAGAAATGATCGCGAGAACTAAAGGTGATCTCTTTCGGTTCGCTCGCGGGTAGGGAAAGCTGCATCCGAGGACAGAGGGGTGTTTGCAGGGCTGACAGGAACGATGTTCGGATGGCGTTTGCTCCTGGAGGCTGAGAGGGAGGGGCGGGGGTCATAACAGTCAGTTGCCAGTCCGGGATCCGTGAAGGGGTCGAGTAGCCGCATGTCAATCGGGGAGAAGGAAGGTTGGGTACCTGCCCCTGGTACAGAGCCGTAGCTTCTTACCAGGGGCAGGCACTGGCAAGTGTCCCTCGCCCCTGCCGCCGCTGGGTCATCTCATTACTGAAAATGAAATATGATGTAATATTCGACTTATACCTGTGCTGTTATCCTTACTAGAAAAGTGACATGTCTTCCGATTAACTAAGATGCGTAAAATGGATTAGAAGACGTTATTAAACCCTTTCCTGAAAACTTTTGGCTATCTATTCCCTCCCTGAATACACACACTAATTTTCTATTAAGAAATTGTAACTGAGATAACTTACTCCAATGACATCTTTTAAAAATTTCGAGAGAGTTTTTATTCACAACAGACATGATAATTATTTCTATCGATGACTTAATTACCAAATATCATGATAATACATTTGGTATGACTTAACACACGTTTATCAGGATTAACGATTCTGGCGTATTAGCTGTAAAATAAATTTTGGAATCCAAATTTGCACAGCACAGAGTATGTATGGTATGATTTTTTTCCTCTTTCAAAAACGATACGTTTGCCACATTTCTTGAAATAAAAATAAAACTAGATATCTTACCAATGAGTTCCCTTCATCCTAAACTCTGCTGAGACCGAGTTGGAACTGCTACGAGGACAGGAGGCGCTCGCTTAAGAGTCAGTGCCTGCTCGGCGTGCCAGGTCTCGCCACCCGCTGTTAACAGCCACGTAACAAGGGAAATGTCAACACAAGAAGCTTGCAAATACGTTCGATATATATAGTTCGTAATACTAACACAGCTGCTGTATTAAATGACGCCAATATAGCCTTACTATTTGATTAATTTATCATCTTTTCAAAAGACAAATGCATGGCAATGAAGACCTTGCATAAAGTGGCGTAAGACTATTTATATGAGTCAATCTTGCGTCTCCCACATGTTGACCATTTTCTTTGCCTAACACGAGAGAACACGTTCATGACGAACATTTATATTTTTGTTGAATATTTTTTTCCTGGTGACCGTTGTTGTCAGGCAATTTGTCTGTTTAATATGTACACACACACACACACACACACACACACACATACACACATACATGTATGTATATATATATATATATATATATATATATATATGTATATATATATATATATATATAATTATACGCATATATATATATATATATATATATATATATATATATATATATATATATATATATATATATATATATATATATATATATATATATATATATATATATATATATATATATATATATATATATATATATGTATATACATATATGTATATATACATATGTATTTATATATAAGTACATGTACATATTTATTTATAATGTATATGCATATGCTGTATACATATGTATGTGTGTGTACGTTCTCAACAATCAGCAAATTTTCCAGCTGATTTGCTTGTTAGTCTGTCTACTATCCTATTATTTGTCTATGTTTATGTATGCTGTCTCTTACGGGCATACACGCTGAAACACACACACACATATGCATGTGTGTGTGTGTGTGTGTACACAACCATATATATATATATATATATATATATATATATATATATATATATATATATATATATAGACACATGTATATATATATATATATGTATATATGTATGTATATATACATACACACTTATATATATGTATACACACATACATGTATATATTCATAGATATATTCATATATATTTACATATATACACAGATATACGTGTATGTGCGTACACACACACACACACACATATATATAAACATATACATATATATACATATATATACATACACACACATGCATATATATATATATATATATATATATATATATATATATATATATATATATATATATATATATATATATGTATATATTTAAATATGTATATATATATATATTTATATATATATATAAATATATATATATACATATTTACATATATACATATATATATGTATATATATATATATATATATATATATATATATATATATATATATATATATATATATATATACATATGCATGTGTGTGTATGTATATATATATATATATATATATATATATATATATATATATATATATATGTATATATGTAAATATATATATATATATATATTTATATATATAAATATATATATATGTATATATGTAAATATGTATATATATATATATTTATATATATAAATATATAAACATACACAAGCATTATATATTTATATATCTATATACACACAGAAATGCGTGTTTATCTATATGTATAAATACATATATCTATCTATCTACCTATCATATATGGTTGAGTGTTTGTGCGCATCACACATCACCAGTAGCAAAAAATTACTAAATACTAATCGACAAGCAATTCATTTGAAAAGCATGCTGAATATGAACATGATATTGCGATGTCTTGCTGTGGATTTTTGAAAACCTAAAGAAACGTATGGGAACCAAAGCTGACGTTATCATCCGCACGCTCGACTGCAGACATGCGGGGGTGACTCACATAAAGCGCTGACTTTATCGAAGAAACGTATGTCATACACAAATCTTACACCATGTTAGTCAAACTCTTCTCCGATATAATTTTTTCCCTTGAAAAACTTAGGTATTACTAAAATGCAAAAACTAATTCGATATCTTTTAAACAAATCTACATATATTAATACACAAAAGGAATAGAAAATATGCTTCTTTTGCTCAGACTTTTCTGCGACTTTTACTGTCTCAGCAAAGATTGTAGTGAACGTATCTTTCAGGTGAAGTTCATTATTCAACAGTGTTTAAAAGGAATAAGATGATAACATTTGTGATTTTAGCAGACCTATGGTTTCGACATTCATGTAACACAGTAAAGATACGATTATGGCTAACGTTGACAATGTACGTCACACTACATGTTTAAATGGCAGACGTAAAATGGTATTTTCAATCTATGCGAGTGATTTTTTATTTTAAAAAGTTTAATAATATAATTGATTATTAGTAAATACTAATAATCAGTCTTAATGATTATATAGTCATGATGGAGATCAGTACCCAGGGTAAAATATCTCACAATTATAAATCGCCGCAGGTTATTTGATTATTTGGAATCGATCCGATGTAAGCCATTTGTAGGGAAAATCTTGTATTCCCGGGGAAGGCTCGTTGATCACGAAAAATAAGGTATATATCTAAAGTGACATTTTTTTACGACTGGAAACATGGCATATCCTAGCACGGACGTTGAGCAAGAATTGCATTACCATTATATTGCTTTGCAGTGGCTCGGACTGTCCCTGGCAACTAACCCCTGCCACTCATTGTTCGGATATGCATTGTTCTGATCACTATGTTGTATTACTAAGTACAATACGTTGTGCCGATATCTATGAAGCTATCGAATAATTTGTATTTTTTGGTAAATGTTTGTTTAAACTGAACTTTAACCTTGCTGCTTTGAAAATGAAAAAAATAACTCCTATCTTTTGAGACACTGGTGTTTATATATTCTAAAACAAGGGTGTCAAAATTCTAAAAAAAGGGTGTCTTACAGTCGGCCGGTTTCCACTCACGCTGTATACTAAGGTGAAATGTGGCCCTGGGGTAAAGGAGTTTGGCAGCCCTGCTCTACAATTTGTTTTCTCTTTATTTCTAAGAAGAGTTGCGTGTCGAGAATGGAAAACCGATTGAAATTCTCTCAGAAATTGAGAAAGAGAAAAGAGGAATGGGGTTATTCACATAGATACATAGCAATTATTAGCGTTTATTGGGGCTTACAGAGAGATTTCCTATTATTGATAAGTGACCATTTTTGTTTCTTTATGTCGCAAACTTAAGTACATACCTTAAGTGACTTCTCTGTTTTTATTTATTTTTTATTATTTTTACAATGCAGCCTTACAACACCCTGAACGTATTAATAAGTATTTCATCTGAATGGATATCAGCAACTGACGATAAATCTGAAAACTAAGATATTTATGCAGTTTGCTGAAAGTCAAGTCCATGTTTGCTAGTGCGTTTTTTTTTCTTTCTTTTTTTAAAGTTGCATCTTTCAGTCCCTAGACCATTGTCCGTGAAGAGAGGTGTTGCATGCATTGCGGCGAGCCGAACGCCACACTTATACATTACTTAGAGAATTGTGTACACACAAAATTCCTGAGACAAGGACCCCCGACAACAGACACCGTGTTGGTAAAGAGACTTTGCGATTCGCTTACCCCGTGGCAGCAGGAGCGCCTACTGGCAATCCCACCGCCGCGGTAAGCACCGAGTGTCATAGAACGAAATGAGTCAGCCAAAGCTGACACAGGCCGGGCCATAGCTAGAACTTCGCAAATCGCAATCGATCGACGACGAGCGGGTGTGGGGCGGGGCAGAAAAGGAGAAGGTGTCTGCGTTTACGTTTGTGTTTCTACGTTTGATTTTTAAATTTGTTGACAGTGTTAACTTTCATTTCTACTTCTCTGCTATTAACCAACATTACATTCGCAGTATTACGTTAAGGTTGCAATATATACTGTGGTATATGTGTCGTATGTGTTCTTATATATGTGTAAATATATCTATAACTGTGCTTGTGTTTAAGGTTGTATAAACATATGTCAAAGCACGAAAAGGAAAGAGAAAGTGAAGAAAACCAGAAGAAAAGAAAGGGATATTGAATAAAAAAAAATGTAGATTACTAATCTGCATCCTTAGTCTGTGTTGCGAGCTTATTCTTCACAAAGATTGCATTACAATAACGGTTACAGATGATACATTTCCTTTGTGGCACTGAGCCTCGAGAGCTCACTTAACTATCATGGTTCTGTTGCATTGCATTAGACCAATAGGAGACTAGGGTGCAATGTGTTTATAATTTATGATTGTAAAAAGATTAACTGATCTGTGTATTTATCTCATTTGACTTTACCTTTTTATGCAAGATGTTACGGTGGGTAATATAAATGCAGTGACTTATGAATTAGTGCATATGTAGGGAAACACGATGTATATATTTATGAATTTTAATATTTGAAAAATGCTTAGAGTTTGAATAGAGATACATATACATTCAAAGAGTAGAGATCGATGGAAACATCCTTATAAAACGTTAAATGATATATTATTCCTGAGGTAAAATTTAAACATCCATTTATTAAAATAAAATTTATTGAACCCATGATTGCCTCTTATACAGGGGCGCAACATATTGTACTTTAAATACAACACAGTGCTCAGAGCAAAGAGGAAAAGCTATATCAAGAAACAGCTTTTAAATGGATGCTTGATACAAGCAACATATTACTCATGAGTAAATTGATACCGTGAGTTCGCTGTTCCTGGAATTCAGTATCAATTAGCTGGAATATAAACCGATAGAAAATTCTAAGAAATCTTCGCAATGATAGAACACGTTCATGACTTACATTTATATTTTTGTTGATTATTTTTTTCCTGGTGACTGTTGTTGTCAGGCACTTAGTGAAGAAATGATCGCGAGAACTAAAGGTGATCTCTTTCGGTTCGCTCGCGGGTAGGGAAAGCTGCATCCGAGGACAGAGGGGTGTTTGCAGGGCTGACAGGAACGATGTTCGGATGGCGTTTGCTCCTGGAGGTTGAGAGGGAGGGGCGGGGGGCATAACAGTCAGTTGCCAGTCCGGGATCCGTGAAGGGGTCGAGTAGCCACATGTCAATCGGGGAGAAGGAAGGTTGGGTACCTGC